AAGTCGTTGATGAATATATTGAATAGTTTACAGGAACACTTTAGAAAAGTACAGGGGGATTCAAAGACCTGAAGGTGGTGTTTTTTGTGGGGTTTTATGTGTGAAAAATGGTAGTACTGATAGCAAATACTAAGCCCACATAGTATGATAAAACAATACAAATATCCAGCTAATGTCTAAAATAGTGTTACAGTTACAACAAAAGTAATCTTGTTTTCTTTTTAGAAGCAATGCAAACGCTTATGGTGCACAAGCACAGAAGGTGTTCACAAGGGTTGTCGTACTCAGCACATGCCTTTGGCTGATGGAACAGTTTGTGGTGTGGGAATGGTAAGCCTTCATTTGTTTCTCGGTACTTACATATGGCAAAGTCATTGATGTAGGTAAGAAAAACCAGTGCTTGCTGTGTGGCAATACTGTACCTGTAGCATACTGATTGTGTGAATAGTATCTACCTGACTTTACCTGCAGTTTCTCTTAGTCCTTGTAATGTTGTGACATAAATAACATGGGTTGTCTGTTCAGAATAATTATAAAAGTTTACAGATGCTACATTGGTTGAAAATAGGCAGAAGACCTCAGGGAAAAGTTACCATCTTTCCTTCTGTTTGAAAAGTTCAGATCATTTATAACAAGTGGGGTTTGTGGTAGTGCTTCAAAGTTGGATTCCCTAGAAACAAGAAATTCCGAAAGTGTGTTTTTCCCACTTTGTCTTGTTGAGGCTGTTTCACTGAATCAGAACAAATTAAGTATGAGTGACTTAGATACAGGAGTACACTTTTTTTGGAAAGAGGGAGTCTTTAGATTAGAATCCTGGTTTCAGTAGATATTTGCACATAATATCTGTTTCAGACAAAATAAAAAGCATATATCAGTACCTCTTCACCTACTTCAGTAAGTGCCTTAACCATGCGTAAATCATGCTCATATACTGTCTTGCCTATTGTAGCGTAATTCAGGATACTTGGATCTGTTCAGTGCTAAAAACCAGGAGCTCTCATCTCACTTGTAACCTACTGTGTAGGACTCTGACTGTCTGTGTGAGGTGTGGATTGAATGCTTTGACACATAAAAAAGGAAGAAATGCAAGCTGGACTTCCTATACCTTGGTCATTGTTTTATTTGGTAAAGAGTGTTTGGATGATGAGAGTGCAGCTCACTACTTCCTCATCTGGCAGGTTGTTTTTGAGTGCACATCTTGATCTCTGTCCTCTTGAGGATATAACCTGTCTTGGACTGTCCATAAGGGTCATGAATATCTAATAAGTAGATATAGTCAAGGCACTTACAGAACCTTGATAGAAATAGAAGTAGTGGTGGAGGCTAATTGGAATCCAGAATTATCAGTGAAGGTTTGGGGGTTTTAGCTTTGGATTTATATGTGGTTTAGGAAGTTAAAAGAAATTAGGTGCTCAAGGTCTTTGCTGATCTAGTCTTTGGCTTCTCCGTGTCTCAGTTCACCACTAGCAAATAGCAGTATTTTCTTACCTGGCAGGGGACTATAAGAATAAATATTTCAAAGATTTTTGACATGCTCAGATATGACAGTGATTATCTTAAGTATGGCTGGTTTATTATGTTGAGCTGCTTTTAATAGTAGTGTGCTTTGGCAGCTTGAGGAGCTGTGGGAGCAATGTTAATTTTTTACCTTTTTTCTGTGTTCAAAGATGATTAAAAAATACCTGGTCTAATTTCTATGTGTAATAGGCTGCTACATTTCACTCAGTTGTTACTAAATTTACCCCAACAACTTTTAATCTTTACAGATTTTTTAAAAATTTTTCTGTATTTGGTACGACAGTAATAGTGAGGAATTTGAAAATACTGTCTTAATGGATAACAATTTAGTGGGTAAACTGTCTCTAATGG